GAAATGAATCTCGTTACGGGGCAATATAGAAAATTGTTTTTCCGATTTCGATTGCTACATGTCACTTTATTCACCAGAACTACGCGTCTACGCCTAAACAGTTTATTAAAAGTAAAAGAAATTTCCGTGTCATGTCGTATGGGTTTAAATCTTAACACTTAATCGTTAACATTAATTTGTATATTTGCACGTATTTACCAGGTAGTGATTATTAATTGTTACCGAAAATCAAATTTGTTAATGAACTTGAACTTTGGGTGGTTAATTGTAGGTATAATCCGTCCAGTTCATGTTGATACTCGGCGACCTCCTCCATAGTTAAAAAAAAATTAGTAGTCCAAATACTATATTACAGATTAAAAAAATGTTGGACCACAGAGACACCATGGCCAAGATAAACTGGACAGGTGATACGTTTGTTATTAGTGTTTGAATGTACCTACAGAATATTTTTACTACCTACGTATTTATGGTGAAAATAAATGTTTATTTACATCGTATTGGTCATAATATTACTTATTATATAGGTACCTACCTATAAATTATGCAATTATCACACAATATCAACTATAAATCACTATCATCCACTAAACTACTAAAAACGTCATAATATTATACGGGTCATCCATCTACTGCCTCGGGCCTACTGTGACTATAATTTGGTCTATGAATCGTATAATAAATAGATTTTGTTTTACAGATAATAACGTTTGTTTCAATTTCAAACTAAACAACAACGTCACGGAACGTAATTTAATATAAAATCTATTATATACTATTAGTTATTACCCTGCCTATTTAATTCCGACTTCTACGTACCACCATATTGTGTTTTTCCCCCAAGGAAATCCAATTAAGATCCATCCAATTGTTGTATATTCTTATTTTTATTTTTTATTTTACCTTTTTCTCGTCCCCTTTTAACTCGTATAAAAGATCATCTGATTTATGGCATTGCTACGACTACTAGTAGTAAATTGTCCTTTATCTATTTTAAGGACCCCTACGATGAGCTCGTCGTTCTACCCCAACCTCTGCAGGGACGTACATATATATATATACATTTATAGCTCGTCGGAGAAAAAAATAAAACAGGAAAAAGCTCTGTACACAGTTTGTTTCCTTTGTGTCCCCCCCGGATGAGTGTAATTCTGTTAAATGGGTCTACAGATAAGGCGCAGGACTACGTGTTTAATGGTCGCTACCTCTTACCGTTCGTCGATTGACAAGGTCGGTGGATGGTGTGTGTGTGTGTGTGTGTGTGTGTGTGTGTGTGTGTGTGTGTGTGTGTGTGTGTGTGTGTG